CAGTCAGCATATAAACCTTGCGCATTAAGATTTAAGATTACAATTAAAGGAAAGTGATCACTTTCAGTACTTACAGCCTTCTTAAAACTTGGCACCAGATTTAGAGATGCCATTATGTGGTCAATTGTTGATGCCCACATGCCAGATGTATATGTGAATTCACCATATTTATCTCCCTCAACGCTCCCCCCTCCCACATTCAATATCACCAAATCTGATTACCATTTATAGATGAGACATTCACCAAAATGTTTATAAATCACTTAATCATTGGGGCCCAGTCTGGCATCAATCAATCAATCAATCAATCAGTATTTATTACGGCAAACAGCCAGTATAGTCCGGCATTAAAGTCACCTTCCAAAATCACAGATGCTTCTGGGAAAATATTTTGTACAAAAACTAATATTGCTATTTTGTTCTTCTGTTTTCATATCTTAGCTCAATACATTCTGTTACTTCATGTCTAACACTATTTTAAGGCTCCTATTGTTGTTGTTGTTTAGTCGTTTAGTCGTGTCCGACTCTTCGTGACCCCATGGACCAGAACACGCCAGGCACCCCTGTCCTCCACTACCTCCCGCAGTTTGGTCAAACCCATGCTGGTAACCTCGAAAACACTATCCAACCATCTTGTCCTCTGTCGCCCCCTTCTCCTTGTGCCCTCCATCTTTCCCAGCATCAGTGTCTTCTCCAGGGAGTCTTCTCTTCTCATGAGGTGGCCAAAGTACTGGAGCCTCAGCTTCACGATCTGTCCTTCCAGTGAGCACTCAGGGCTGATTTCCTTAAGAATGGATGCGTTTGATCTTCTTGCAATCCATGGGACTCTCAAGAGTCTTCTCCAGCACCATAATTCAAAAGCATCAATTCTTCGGCGATCAGCCTTCTTTATGGTCCAGCTCTCACTTCCATACATCACTACTGGGAAAACCATGGCTTTAACTATACGGACCTTTGTTGGCAAGGTGACATCTCTACTTCTCAAGATGCTGTCTAGGCCTGTCATTGCCCTTCTCCCAAGAAGCAGGCGTCTTTTAATTTCGTGGCTGCTGTCACCATCTGCAGTGATCATGGAGCCCAAGAAGGTAAAATCTCTCACTACCTCCATTTCTTCCCCTTCTATTTGCCAGGAGGTGATGGGACCAGTGGCCATGATCTTCGTTTTTTTGATGTTGAGCTTCAGACCATATTTTGCGCTCTCCTCTTTCACCCTCATTAAAAGGTTCTTTAATTCCTCCTCACTTTCTGCCATCAAGGTTGTGTCATCTGCATATCTGAGGTTGTTGATATTTCTTCCAGCAATCTTAATTCCATCTTGGGATTCATCCAGCCCAGCCTTTCGCATTATGTATTCTGCATATAAATTAAATAAGCAGGGAGACAAAATACAGCCTTGTCGTACTCCTTTCCCAATTTTGAACCAATCAGTTGTTCCATATCCAGTTCTAACTGTAGCTTCTTGTCCCACATAGAGATTTCTCAGGAGACAGATGAGGTGATCAGGCACTCCCATTTCTTTAAGAACTTGCCATAGTTTGCTGTGGTCGACACAGTCAAAGGCTTTTGCATAGTCAATGAAGCAGAAGTAGATGTCTTTCTGGAACTCTCTAGCTTTCTCCATAATCCAGCGCATGTTTGCAATTTGGTCTCTGGTTCCTCTGCCTCTTCTAAATCCAGCTTGCACTTCTGGGAGTTCTCGATCCACATACTGCTTGAGCCTTCCTTGTAGAATTTTAAGCATAACCTTGCTAGCGTGTGAAATGAGTGCAATTGTGCGGTAGTTGGAGCATTCTTTGGCACTGCCCTTCTTTGGGATTGGGATGTAGACTGATCTTCTCCAATCTTCTGGCCACTGCTGAGTTTTCCAAATTTGCTGGCATATTGAGTGTAGCACCTTAACAGCATCATCTTTTAAAATTTTAAATAGTTCAGCTGGAATACCATCACTTCCACTGGCCTTGTTATTTGCAGTGCTTTCTAAGGCCCATTTGACTTCACTTTCCAGGATGTCTGGCTCAAGTTCAGCAGCCACACTACTTGGGGTGTACGAGACATCCATATCTTTCTGGTATAATTCCTCTGTGTATTCTTGCCACCTCTTCTTGATGTCTTCTGCTTCTGTTAGGTCCTTACCACTTTTGTCCTTTATTATGGTAATCTTTGTACGAAATGTTCCTTTCATATCTCCAATTTTCTTGAACAGATCTCTGGTTCTTCCCATTCTGTTGTTTTCCTCTATTTGTTTGCATTGCTCGTTTAAGAAGGCCTTCTTGTCTCTCCTTGCTATTCTTTGGAAATCTGCATTCAATTTCCTGTATCTTTCACTATCTCCCTCGCATTTTGCTTGCCTTCTCTCCTCCGCTATTTGTAAGGCCTCGTTGGACAGCCACTTTGCTTTCTTGCATTTCCTTTTCATTGGGATGGTTTTCGTTGCTGCCTCCTGTACAATGTTACGAGCCTCCATCCATAGTTCTTCAGGCACTCTGTCCACCAAATCTAAATCCTTAAACCTGTTCCTCACTTCCACTGTGTATTCATAAGGGATTTGACTTAGATTGTATCTTACCGGCCCAGTGGTTTTTCCTACTTTCTTCAGTTTAAGCTTGAATTTTGCTATAAGAAGCTGATGATCTGAGCCACAGTCAGCTCCAGGTCTTGTTTTTGCTGACTGTATAGAGCTTCTCCATCTTTGGCTGCAGAGAATATAATCAATCTGATTTCGATGCTGCCCATCTGGTGATGTCCATGTGTAGAGTCGTCTCTTGTGTTGTTGGAAAAGCGTGTTTGTGATGACCAGCTTGTTCTCTTGACAGAACTCTATTAGCCTTTGCCCTGCTTCATTTTGATCTCCAAGGCCAAACTTGCCAGTTGTTCCTTTTATCTCTTGACTCCCTACTTTAGCATTCCAATCCCCTATAATGAGAAGAACATCCTTCTTTGGTGTCACTTCTATAAGGTGTTGTAAGTCTTCATAGAATTGGTCAATTTCAGTTTCTTCAGCACCAGTAGTTGGTGCATAAACTTGGATTACTGTGATGTTAAAAGGTCTGCCTTGGATTCGTATCGAGATCATTCTATCAGTTTTGAGATTGCATCCCAGTACAGCTTTCGCCACTCTTTTGTTGACTATGAGGGCCACTCCATTTCTTTTACGGGTTTCTTGCCCACAGTAGTAGATGTGATGGTCATCCGAACTGAATTCGCCCATTCCCGTCCATTTTAGTTCACTGATGCCCAGGATGTCAATATTTATTCTTGCCATCTCATTTTTGACCATCTCCAACTTACCCAGGTTCATGGTTCTTACATTCCAGGTTCCTATGCAATATTTTTCTTTACAGCATTGGACTTTCCTTTCGCTTCCAGGCATATCCGCAACTGAGCGTCCTTTCGGCTTTGGCCCAGCCGCTTCATCAGCTCTGGATCTACTTGTACTTGCCCTCCGCTCTTCCCCAGTAGCATGTTGGACGCCTTCCGACCTGAGGGGCTCATCTTCCAGCGTCATAACTTTTATATGCCTGTTGTCTTTGTCCATGGAGTTTTCTTGGCAAGGATACTGGAGTGGCTTGCCGGTTCCTCCTCCAGGTGGATCACGTTTGGTCCAAACTCTCCACTATGACCTGTTCATCTTGTGTGCCCTGCTCGGCGTAGTTCATAGCTTCCCTGAGTTCTTCAAGCCCCTTCGCCACGGCAAGGCAGTGATCCATGAAGGGGATGAAGCCTCCTATTACACTGCATGAAATTTGTATCAGGATGGACGATTTAAATTTGTATCAGGATGGACAATTTAAAATCGTTCCTCTTTTAAATTTCCATCCTAAAAAAATATAATAATAAATCATTCTCCTCAAAAATCTGCGTTTGAAAACTATGGGGGGGGGGGGGACTAAGAGAACACTGCCACCAATTGGCCAATAATTTGAATTGCAGTGCTGAGGTTAAAAAACCCCCTCTCTTCTGGGGGTGGTCAAACTGCTGTTAGCAGCACCAAAATAACCTCCTTATGGTGCAAGCCTGGGCAGTATGTATGGAGGCCAGGGGCTGTCAATAAGACAAGACCACCCCCTTGGCCTTGCTGATGTGGTCCAAAGGAAAGCAGAGCAATGTTTGGCACCGGCTTGGCTGCAGCAGTTGAGGGGAGGAGGCGTACAAGGCACCATCCAACTATCTTACAGATTTCACTCTAGATTTATGTAGAGTTTACTCCTTAGGCTTTTCTTCTCCCGAAGATATCCCACAAGAGAGGCTTAGGATCAGAGTTTTACTCCCTCTCCAATATGGGCTACCTTCCCAGGTTGATGAGTCCCATTTGCCCTCTACAGCACATGCAGAAACCACTTTCTTGACTGTTGGACACACTTTTGGTCTCATCCACTCAATCCACCAGAGCCTGTCTTCACATGAAGGGAAAGTCCCTAACTCATCAAGGGTTTGAGATCAAATGCACATGTAGAAATATCAGGGAGCAATTCTAACCTTATTCCCTCCAGCCTTTATGGAGTGGCAGAGATCTGCTTGTCCACACAATGGTCTCTTGAAGGAGGTTAAGCTGAGAGAATAGCAACTGGCTCCAGTTCACTAACTGAACATTGCGGTTGAGCAGTGTTATGAACTTGGTCCTAATACAAAATGCTGCACCAGCTTTTCAGTCCAGGTTCCCCTTTTGCGGAACGCTCTCTCACCAGGGAAGCACACCTGGTACCACCACACAGGTGTGTGTTTTAAGGCACCAGGCAAAACATTTCCTATTTACTCAGGCGTGTGGTTTTTAATTGGGAGGGTGGCTAGATATGTCAGCAGACTTAGTTATACTCATCTTTTAAGCAGGATGAGTTGGACTTGTTCGAATTAAATACATTGTCAGATGAGAAATACTCATTTGTGTGTTGCTGTTATTTTTAAAATGTCTTTTTAATATTTTACTGTGTAAGTCGCTTATGGGCACTTGAGTACAGAAGTGCAATTTAAAAACAATAAAGAAATAAAACAATTTGAAAAAATCTACCAAAGAACATTTCTTGAAGAAAAAAAGCATAAAAGTTTATTGTATGCAAAAATCAAGAGAAGACACTCCATGATATATGTACATTAATTTACAAGGGGAAAAAAATAAAGAGGCAAGTAATTATTTACAAGATGTCCCTTTTGAGTACAAATACACACATACACACACTCACACTCCCAACGTGGATCTTTTTATTTACAAGCAGAAAAAGGCCCCGAAACAAACAAACCCTGAAGCAAAGCCAAAGAGAACAAAATTTTAAGATGTTAAAAGGTGGAAATGGGGACTCAGGCATATTATAAACTTCAGGGGAGAGAGGCATATGTGAGGGTCTGTCTACACATTATGAGGAATGCTGAACGTAAGGACGTATCACTAGTTGCCTTTATCAAATATTGGAGAGTGGTGGGCGGGATGATGGTCAGCAGCAGCCATGTGTTCCTCATTATGTGTAATTAAAAACCCCTAAGGCCCTTATTTGCTAAATACCTGGAGTTGTGGCCTTGAAGAAACCCCGTGCTTAACTTACTGGACCCAGGAACAGCTGTGAACATTCAAAATAGGGAGTCAGCACTGACTGGATATGCCAGGGGCCTTTTTGCCCTCATTAATTTTGATGGAGGACAAAACAAAGAGCTGACGAGAGACTGGCCATTCTAGATTATACTTCAACAGCAAGGTAGCAAGGGGACCAGATTTCTGCTCTGGACTCAAATACAATTGTGAGGTGTAAAGGTCCGTTTTGACCAGGTGCAAGTTGATGCAAGGTTCTACCTCATACTGTTGAGTTTTTGAACCAACCATGAACCGCGCTATAGGCCTTAAATGCTATTTACCAACTGGCTATTAAACCAATCTGAGCAAAGCATCCTTCATACATTGCTTGAAAAGGCGCCTGTGGTAGGTGAGAGGAGCCATGTCACTGCCAGCCTTTAAAAGGAGGAAGCCAGCCCTGTACAGATCGTATGTTGATTGTCAGTAACTCATGCAGGAAAAGGCCCATTTTACTACAGCCAACTTCTGGCTTGGCTACTTTGTTCTTAAGATGTTTTTATGGGCAGAAACTAACCATGGGGCTTCCCCATGCCCAGCCTGAGATGTACTTCCCACAATGGCAACATCCTACCAAGGCTGATGCAGAGAGGAATGTGCTAGCAGCTCTCTGCACCCTGCTCTTCCCTTGCTGTTCGTGCCCAGAGCTCACATAGTTGGGCTACAGCTCACTAGATCGTACTGCCGGTTCCAGTTTGTGGGACAATGCTGTTAGAACCTTGTTGAACTTCTCGTAGCGCTCACTCTGGCTGCTCTCGGCCCCTCGGCTGCCCCACAGGAGGCGCAGCTGGAACTCTGTGCTGAAGATCTCAAGCAGCTCTGGCTGAGGCTGGAAGCCTGTAATGAAAGAACAAGCATGCTTGTAGAGAAGCACGTTTCCAACGTTTCCAGTACGTTTCCATGCACAGTTCAAAGTGTTGGTGCTAAAGCCCTAAACAGCCTCAGTCCAGTATACCTAAAGGAGCGTCTCCACCCCCATCGTTCAGCTCAGACACTGAGGTCCAGCGCCAAGGGCCTTCTGGCGGTTCCCTCCCTGCGAGAAGCCAAGTTACAGGGGACCAAGCAGAGGGCCTTCTCGGTGGTGGCACCCGTCCTGTAGAACGCCCTCCCACCAGTTGTCAAAGAGAAGAACAACTACCAGACTTTTAGAAGACATCTGAAGGCAGCCCTGTTCAGAGAAGCTTTTAATGTTTGATGAATTAGTGTATTTTAATAATTGTGTTGGAAGCCGCCCAGAGTGGCTGGGGAAACCCAGCCAGATGGGCGGAGTATAAATAATAATTTATTTATTTATTTATTTATTTATTAATTATTATTATTATTATTATTATTATTTATTTCTAATTCAAAGAGAGAAACCACATGGGAATGCTTAAGGGTCTGAGGGCACAAATATTTCTTATTTTGACAACCATTTCCTTCTGTCAAAACAAAAAAAATTCCTTCCAGTAGCACCTTAAAGACCAACTAAGTTAGTTCTTGGTATGAGCTTTCGTGTGCATGCACACTTCTTCAGATACACTGAAACAGAAGTTGCCAGATCCTTCTATATAGTGAGAAGGTGGGGAGGGGTATTACTCAGAGGGGGGTGGGAATGGGTGATTGGCAGATAGCTGTGATGAGCCTGTTGACGACTCTTAACGACTGCAGTAGGTCTTACAGGAAAAAGCAAGGGGTGAGAAGGTGAAAAATGGCTTTGTCATGTATAGTGAGATAAGAATCCAATGTCTTTGTTCAGGCCAGGTGTCTCCATGGTTTTAAGTTTGGTAATGATTTGCAATTCAGCAGCTTCTCTTTCCAGTCTATTTCTGAAATTCCTTTGTAGTAAAACAGCTACTTTGAGATCTTGTATAGAATGTCCTGGGAGATTGAAGTGTTCTCCTACTGGTTTCTCTGTCTTGTGATTCTTGATGTCCGATTTATGTCCGTTTATTCTTTGGCGTAAGGTTTGGCCTGTTTGTCCAATATAGAGAGCTGAAGGACACTGTTGGCATTTGATGGCATACACAATGTTAGACGATGAGCAATTAAATAGTCCCGAGATGGTATGTGTGATGTTGTTGGGGCCAGTAATGGTGTTGTCCGGGTGTATGTGGCAGCAAAGTTGGCATCTGGGTTTATTGCAGGCTCTGGTGCCAGTGTCCGTGTTAAGTCTGGTTGTAGTATTATTGTGGGTTAGGAGTTGTATAGTGAGAAGGTGGGGAGGGTGTTTCAGTGTATCTGAAGAAGTGTGCATGCACACGAAAGCTCATACCAAGAACTAACTTAGTTGGTCTTTAAGGTGCTACTGGAAGGAATTTTTTTTGTTTTGACTATGGCAGACCAACACGGCTACCCATCTGTAACATTTCCTTCTGGTTGGTACCCATATAAATATGGGGATTACTGTTGTTGTTTTGCACCCCCTTTTGACACCTGTAGGGTGGAACCGCCTGTACCACCCTAATTCCAGCACTGACAGTGGTGATCCAGGAGGACCCCAAACATATTGCTACCCAAGGCAAAGGAGAAGATGCCACCGTCCCCTGCTACATTCCACATGCAGAAGCCAAGTTGACAGGCAGATCAATCTTAGTTCAACATTGGCATCAGGATGCCTGAAGGCTGCAGGCTAGTTTAGGGAGTGCAGAACAGGCCACGGGGCACACACTGCTCTGTCTTCCCAACATGCTCTTAGCTGAGCTTTGTTCCACATGTCCTTCCTTACCCTGCAGCTTCATCTCTGCGTTGGTGTGGTATAGTCCGCCATGATGAGCCACCATTCGTGCTGCTTCCAGGTGGGCCATGACTACCTCCACACCATTGTCCAAGTTTTCCCAGGGCTCGGGGTTTTCTGGAACTGCTGCGTCCCGTTCCAGAAGTGTGATGAGGGGCACTATGTGTGGGAAGGTAGTGTTGGACAATGGGGGGCCTTCTGGAAGAAGAAAGCAAAAGGATTTATTTATATGAGGAGCTGAGCTGTCACTGCATATCTTGCCTTGCACCATTTCCTTTTGACTAGCTGCAGCCCTTCAAAATTACTCTGTTTACAAGTTTGAGTTCCTGGTCTGCACTATACTAATCCGGCTATGCCCACCAACCCTTCCCTGGCAATATTAAAGAAATTGCACTGCATTAGTCAGACCTCACCCGGAGTACTATGGCCAGTTCTGGGCACTGTGCTTAAAGAAAAATGTAAAAGTGGTTTAGAGGAGGATAGTGATGATGGTCTAGATTCTAGAAAGGTGCTGCTCATCAGAGAAGATAATGCTGGACAACATGGGCCTGGCATAAACCAGTTTCCCGTCTCTCGCATGCAAGTTCTTTGCTATGCACACTGGACCACAGCATAGAATTAAAAGCAAAACCTTCACTGGAGGTTTTTAGGCAGAGGTTGGCTGCCCATCTGTCATGGATCCTTTTGCTGAGATTTCTTCCTTGCAGGGGGTTGGAATAGGTGACCCTTGGGGTCCCTTCCAATTCTACAGTTCTATGAAATATTTGCCAATGCTCACACAAACAACACTAGACAGATAAATATACAAGGCTAGTTTCTACATGGTGCCTAGAGAATAACTTGCACATAAATATTAGCAAGACAAAGGAGATGGTGTTGGACTTTCGGAGGAAGAGAGGGGAACTAGCCCTGTTGTATATCGGGGGGGTTGTGTGGAGAGAGTCTCTTCCTTTAAATTTCTGGGAGTTTGCCTTAGTGAAGACCTCACTTGGAAAATAACTCAGGTGGTTAGGAAAGCCCAACAGAGACTCCATTTCCTCAGGGTCTTGCGAAAGAACAATGTTAAACAACAATTGATGACCTCCTTCTACTGGTCCACAACAGACAGTGTCCTCTCATATTGTATCACAGTGCGGTACGTTGGCTTGACAGCCACAGACAAAGTCTTTACAGAGGGTGGTGAACACAGCGCATATCATGGGCTGTCCCCTGAGCCCGCTAGGGATCGTTGCAAGGGATCGTTGCCTTAGGAGAGTGAGAAAAATTCTCAGGGACGACTCACACCCCGGCCAGCACCTCTTTAATCTTCTACCCTCGGGTAGGAGATATAGAAGTATAATCAGTCGTACCAACAGGCTAAAAAACAGTTTCTATCCGTGGGCTGTTAGACTGCTGAACGGAAAATAATATAGTGGAGCTGACTTTCAGGGTTGGTGTGTTGTGTGACAAGCACACAGAGTGCAATGAGATTGAGTGTTTGTGTGTGTGTGGGGGGGGAGGCTCGATTAATTTCATTGTACACAGGTTGTACACTGACAATAAAGGTATTATTTTCAAAACTTAAGCATTTCTTTCATTTTGCTGTCTGAGGCAAAAGACATGATGGCACTCTACTCCAAGGCGTATACAGAAGCCAACTGGACTGATAGTTGAACCTTACTCCAGTACTGCTGAAAGGACTGTGCCTTCCAGGGGCAGGCTGCATTGTACTCCCAGCTCAGTCCACTCCCCGCAACCTGAGCAACTGCTGCCTGAGACAGCTGCCTCACTTTGCCTCATCATAGAGCCGGCCATGTCCGTTAAGTAACAAACACAACATGTGAAACTAGATGATGCAGCAGAACAGCAGACTCTGCATAACCTAATAGGGAGAGAAACCTGAGGGCAGGCTCACCAAGATGGGGGGGGTGGCTAGCTTACTTTCAAAGCTTACCTTTGCCTTCGTTCAGGCTTTTGAGGAAAGGCTTCAGCTTCTTCTCATAGAGAATAGCTCCCTCCGTGTGACGCTGGCGTAGAACCATCCAGGTCTGCTCCAGACGTGAGATCTGAAAGCCAAGCGGGAAAGGGAAACATAAGGGGAGGGGCACTGAAGCAGAGCTATTTATTTATTTATTAAATTTGTATACCTCCTCTCACACAAAGGTCATGGGGCAGTTCACAACATAAAAATACAAAAAGAGAACAACAAAACACATTGTGGGGGCTGCAGGTGAGCAACCTATGCCTGGAAGGGATACTGGATAAAACCTGGCCTGGCTCACAAAGCCCTGTACTGAGAGGTTTGCTGGGGTGATTTGGGGTGTCTCTCTGGTTCCCTTGGGCTCCTTCTCATGGTTTCTAAAAGAGGCTTTGGATATCATCCAGAAATGCAAATAAGCGTAAGAGCCCGGAAACTCCACTTTCTTTATTTCTTTGCACATCCACTGCAATGTCTGCCTGGGGCTCATGCTGGGCCAAAACTGCACATCTGTCCTGCTTCAGTTCTTCAGGCCTGACTATGGAAGCACTCAAAAAGCCAGCGAGGGTGTCTTGCACACCTGTTTAATGGAGCTTCTGGTAGTATCCAAAGCCCAAACTCCTTCTACGAGGATGCTGGTAGCCCAATTGTTAGGAGTGCTCTGATGGTGTTTCCTGCTTGGCAGGGGATTGGACTTGATGGCCCTTGTGGTCTATTCCAACTCTATGATTCTATGATTCTATTCTATTCTATGATTCAATTTGCTGATGGACTGCAGGGGATTCCAGAGATCAGCAAAAATGCAAGCTGTGGGCAGGGGCAGGGCAGTGGCCAAACAAGTACCTGGGTCATTTCAAGGGCATCCATCACAGCAGCAAAACTGAACATGTTGCCCATGGTACTCTTCAGCTCAGCAGCCAGCTGGATGGTCTTGTGAAGAAGGGAAGCCCTCTCTTCCATGCTTCCTGTGCAGCCCAGAATATCCACAGCAATCATTATGGTCATGGTATGGAACCTAAGGAAGGAGAAGAGGGAAGGAAGAAAGTGAGGAAGCCAGCTGGAAGCAAAGACAGGGGTGTAGAAGAAGTGCTTCCAGATTTCTACTTCCCCAGCCAGCAACTTGGGCATTCAGAAGCTTCGGGCAATGGGTTTCTTAAGGGCTAGATTTTTTTTTAAAGCAAAAGCTCAGAGTGCCAGAATGCTAAACTCTGCACCTAGTTTCGCATTTCCTGCCCTTGAATCTCCACAGTGCTGCCTAACAGGCAGCAGCCCTTATCTCTGCAGGAGAGACAGACATTGCAGGACTGTGCTTAGCAACCAGGGACCTGCCCACCCAGCCCAAAGCATCTCTTTTGTCTGCCTGCCCCTCAAACTCTACCTTTCCAACAAATCAAGCCGAAGTTGATGTCCGTGGGGCAGGGTGAGTAGCTCCATCCCTGAGCTCACTCCCATGAGCCTCTGCATCTCCTTGGTAACGCCCAGTATCCTAGCAACCTGCGACAAAGAGGGGAAAGTGGTTTGATTTCCATCCTTGGATGCAGAAGGGAATCTTCACAATGCAAAGGACTGATGATGATGATAATGATGATGGTGATATTTTTAGTTACTAAAAAAGTCACTGAAGAAAAATTGTTATTTGTTAGAATCTCTGCAACCACATGTCATTGTTCTGAATTGATGCTATTTCAGCTTTATATCCCACTTATCTGCATTTTTGCACGAACTAAAAATAATTTTGTAAAAAAACAGCAGCAGTGGGCCTAACGCAGAGCCTTGACCCTCCCCTTCACAATTCCTAGGACTAGCTGTGTTGAGCATACAGAATGGCTTGGACAGTGCTGATTTTTCCCTTCCCCAGAGTCCTTCATGCCTGTAAAAGGTAAAGGTACCCCTGCCCGTACGGGCCAGTCGTGTCCGACTCTAGGGTTGCGCGCTCATCTCGCTCAAGAGGCCGGGAGCCGGCGCCATCCGAAGACACTTCCGGGTCACGTGGCCAGCGTGACAAAGCTGCATCTGGTGAGCCAGCACCAGCGCCACACACGAAAACGCCGTTTACCTTCCCGCTAGAAAGCGGTCCCTATTTATCTACTTGCACTTAGGGGTGCTTTCGAACTGCTAGGTGGGCAGGAGCTGGGACCGAGCAACGGGAGCTCACCCCGTCACAGGGATTTGAACTGCCAACCTTTCAATCAGCAAGTCCTAGGCTCTGTGGTTTAACCCACAGCGCCACCCGCGTCCCTTTCATGCCTGTATAACAGGCAATAATTAAACAGGTCACAGAGCTGGGTCTGTGTCCTCTGGAGCAAGGGGTGTCTCTGAGCAGGAGGAAGGCAAGATGGATAAAGGCTGTCCTTCTGCAGGTTGCCTCACTCTGGCAACTTCAGCTGCTGTGCAAAACATTTGGGGACGGGCTCAGCAAATTTCTCTTGTGAACAGGCTGTCGGCTTCAGGCTGGGAAGAACAGATAAGCGTCTGTTCCGGACCAGCCAAGGACAGGCTTACTCCTGGGACAATTTTGGTAGGTCTGCTTGCCAAGCCAGTGAATAAACACTTGGCGCTGACAAGAGAGACGGGCATCACAGTGCAAACACTTAAAGCCCAGAGTGTGCCATCCTGTGTAATGAGACTTAAAATAAATTAGCGGCCATTAATTTTCCATGAACCTGTGATTGAAATACGGAGGGGCAGGGAAAATTGGGGCTGGGGGCACAAGCCCCTGGGGGCCCTTGGCATGGCGCTCTCTGGTATGCCCTCTCATAAGTTAGTGCCCTAACCACAGCCAGGCGACCCTCCTATGCCAGGACCCCTTCCCAGCAGGATTGTTCAGTGGAGGTAATCCTCCTATTGGCTCCAGGTGGTCACCACTTTAATTTCCTACAAGGTCCCAGGCATATCGTCATATCATATCAATGCGGAATATAAGACTGGGGACCAACCTACATGTGCTTTCTCTGAATGTGCAGGTCAGCCCAGAGCTGATCACCCAAACAGAATTCCTAGTGTCCAAATGCAATGCGCTCTACGTGGGGCTATCTTTGAAGGTGACCAGGAAACTACAACTAATCCAGAATGCGGCAGCTAGACTGGTGACTGGGAGTGGCCACTGAGACCACATAAGACCTACATTGGCTCCCAGTACGTTTCTGAGCACAATTCAAAGTGTTGGTGCTGACCTTTAAAGCCCTAAACGGCCTTGGTCCTGTATACCTAAAGGAGCATCTCCACCCCCATCGTTCTGCCCGGACACTGAGGTCCAGCGCTGAGGGCCTTCTGGCGGTTCCCTCGCCGTGAGAAGCCAAGTTACAGGGAACCAGGCAGAGGGCCTTCTCGGTAGTGGCTCCCTCCCTGTGGAATGCCCTCCCACCAGACGTCACAGAGAAGAACAACTACCAGACTTTTGAAGACATCTGAAGGCAGCCCTGTTTAGGGAAGCTTTTAATGTTTAACAGACTACTGTATTTTAATACTTTGTTGGAAGCCACCCAGAGTGGCTGGGAAAACCTAGCCAGATGGGCGGGGTATATTATTATTATTATTATTATTATTATTATTATTATTATTATTATTATTGCAATGCCACCAGCACAGCTGCTACTAACTGGCCCTATTCCGAACGAGAGGCAGCCCAAAGAGGCCACCAGCAACCCAAAATCCCATACCAGGCAATCCACTTGGGTGATATGTTTGGCCAGAGTCTTGGCGTCCACTTCTGCTAGGAGTTCCTTGACCTTCTTGAGCACTGCCATCTCCAGGGGCTTGTTTTCCAGAGGGATAAGGAGCGACTGGAAGATAGCTGGGTTGAAGGAGGAGGTCCTTTCCACAACAGGGACAACAAAGCCCACACTGTTCAGATCCAGCCTCTTCCTGGGCCCCACCTCCACGTCAGAGCCATTCAGAGCAAGCCCTCTCTGGCCCTCGTCCCCTTTTAGCCTCTCGACGTAGCTCTTGGCTGGCATCTGTTTGCCCTCTGCAGTTGGCCTGTCCCACTGAACTGGGGAAGGAGGGTGGAGCTGGCAGTAATGTCCTGTGTCCGGATCGCTATAGCTGCTGACCGAGGGAGAAGGGGAGGCCCTTGAGTAGCCATGGGAAGGGGTCGAGTGCGGGCTGTCGGACTGGTCAGCCTTGCTACCATTTCCTTGGCACAGCTGTGGTTCACTGGAGCGTCTTATGACAGGGGATGACGGGGTTATGCCACTGCCAGCTTGGCCAGTCTGTGGTTTTAGCCGAGTAACTGCAAACAGAGGTAGAGAAAGGGGTTTTTTTATTGTAAGAGTGGACACAGGCAGCAAAACAAGTATTTGGTTTGCAACGGTAACATGTTATGAGGTCCACGCAATCATCTGTGTGCGCCCATGTTGCCGCTTTATAACAATTTCACCAAAAAACTGACATTATCCAATTCACTCAAAAATGGTGCCAAACTGTTGCAAATTCTCTTCTGAAAGGTTTGGCGGTAGAAACAGAAGGGTTTTTATCATAGGCCAAGAAATCAGCCCTCCTGCAGAAAAAGCATTGTGAAGTGCGGGATAATAATTACTTAACACAGCATAGTATAACCCCCCCCCACAATCAAATCAGAATGAACGTTCAATAGTTGACATCATATGACCTCCCTGCAAGTTTTGTGCAGACAAATTATCATTTATTTGTATGCTGCCTTTCCAAAGTTAAAACTATGCTCAATGCCGTTTCCAACATAACTATAAACATAACAAAAAGTAGTCATAAACAATAAACAAAGCAACAGAAAGTACACAACCAAACTGAACAATTTCCACATAAATCAAAAGATCCAAAATAAAGATAAAAACTAACAGCAACAACAGCAGCAACCACTGCCAAAAAAGTCCCCTAAACATTTCTGTAGGGGAACTTAATAAAAGATAATCTGGAAAGGACTAGAAAGTTTTGGGCTAAAGACCAGGACAAAAAATGCTTTATAAACAGTAGGGAGAAGTTCTCACATGCCATTGTGATTACTCTTTATTATACGTTGAATATTTCTCTCACCCTCCATTTTATTTTTATTTGCTCTTTGAAAACCGTTCCTACCTGTGCTGTAGGCTGCAGTTGCAGGGCTCTCAGAGATGGGAGACATTGAAGAGTGGAGATCTTGGATTTGATCCACACTGACCGCACAATTCCGGATGATGTCTCGGTGATGTGGCAAGGAGACGCTAGGCAAAGGATAAAAGAAGGTGTTGGCACAAAGTCCTCCCAAGAGGACCAAGCAGGGCCAGACTAAGGGGCCAGACCCATGGAATAAGTGGGCATTGTTGCTTTGAGTAAGGCAAAAAGTGCAGCGGCCAGGGACTCTTGCCTGTTTGTAGAAAAGCACAATGCCCACATCAAGTGGACCTGCTTTATCTTCCCTCAATCTTAGTCGCCTCACTTTGCCAATGACATGGGCCTGTCCTGTTTGTGAGGTGCCCTAGTCTGGGTCCAGGATGCTAAGGTCTCCATCAGCTGGGACACTTTTTCCGTATGAGATGCGTGGTGGCATCACCCAGCCACAGTCCTCTTCATGGAGGATGGATTACCAAATTGCATAAGCCAGCAAGGGAGTCGGTTCTAATTGAAGGCCACACTACCGTAAAAGTAAAGTATTATTCAAAAGCAGGAGTTCTATTTCACACAGGGGGACTTACGAGTCCCGGGGATATAGAGATGACTGAGTTGCTTCAGACCCAGAGCAGCAAACCTCTTGCTATCGAGAAGCTTGGTTCAGCTGGAGCTCCACACAAACCTGAGAACCGTGGGTGGTATTCAACTAGGTTCCACTCAAAGCAGACCTACTGAAATTCAATGGACCTAACTTAGTCCTGCTCATTCATTTCAAAGAGTCTACACACAGCTGAATGCTGCCCTTTGTTTATTTTGCACATAGCCAAATAAATGAGTGTGGTGCCATTGCCAATGAACCAGAGGAAGCTACAGTGGTTTTAATAGGACCTTCTCCATAGTTTCATGTCTTCCCACCTACCCACAATGTAAACAATGATGAGTAAAATAAGCCCACTGCAAGCGTAGTGAGTCCCCAGAAACTTTTGGTATACCTAATGCAAGTGTATCTGATATTTTATTATTTTTATTGATGTCTATTTTGTTTGTTGTTTTACTACATATGAGGTTTTAATGTTTCATGATTGCAAGCTGCTCTGGGATTACCTTCTGGCTGGAAATAGTTTATATAAATAAATAATAAGCAAGTGAAGGTACCTCTATTCAGCTGTTAATTAATTCTGAGAAAGAAATTAAGAGGCTTTCCCCAACAAGCATCTTCCCCTGGTAGTTAAGCCCAAGGACTTATCCACACTTACCTTTTGCAATGCTCTTTCCAGGTACAGGCCCACACTTGAACGCTCCGTATAAGAGCATTGTTGTTGCCCTGGAGTATTTCCCACAAAAACCTTCTCTTCAGCGCTCAATCGGAGCAAACATCAATTTGGGTTTTCTGCAGGTTGACATTTGCTCCGATTCGGCTTTAAAGAGCAGATTTTTGGTTCAGAAAGCTCTGGAGCGAAAAGAAGAAAGGGGAGGTTGCGCTTGGACACAGAGCTTTAAAGTGTGGACCATGCCTGGAAATAAGCAGAGGAAAGGTAAGTGTGGAAAAGCCCTCACTTGGGAAATTTCCAGGGAAATGCCTCCATCTTTTCCCCATGAGGGGCACCTCAGTCACCTAGCTGTAGGTTCTGATTCCCCCACACCTTTGTCTGACCTCCCCACTACTCTGTGACAGGAACTGATTTGTAGGACTCAGAGCTAGAGCTCATTAAATTCAGGAGGTAGGGCTGGGGGTAGGATATAAATTTAATGAATGAACCATATTTGACCTCATCTTTGCTTGATTCTGAACCCTCTTCCTGGATGTTTCTTGTCTTGGCTGCTCTCCAAGATATCCAGGCACTTTCCTCCTACGAGCCCATGCTTGCCTATGCCAGCAACTCTGGACTCTTACTAGGGAACTCAGGATATTGCTTCTTTTTGCCTTCCCTTCCTCAGGACAGGTAATTAACAGAGTCTCTCCACCTTCCTCTCCCTCCCTGACTCTGAACCTTCATGTTGACCCCAATGCCTGGTGCACTGCGGTCCATACTGCAACTCTGTCCAGTTCCCAAAACACACTCCATTAGGAGCAATCTCCTAGCCCACTGCTCCCAACAGGAACCATTTCAGTTTATGGCCCAGGCAATGTGGGCCCGGGTACTTGATGGGATCTGCAATTACAAAATCTCTTGCTATTTTATATTTCTGTACTTGCAGTTCAAGCCGCAAAGCCGTTTCACTCACTTCCTGCCGTCTTTGTGGAAATGAAATTATATTCATTTATATTGGTAATTTGTTGGTTCTTCCCAGTTCCCACAAGTGAGAAAAGCAATACTGACATTTCTTAAGTAACTGTGCCTGTTGTAGTAACCTCAATTCCATGCAGTTGTCTCCAGATAAGAACCCTGAAGTTGTATGTCTATGAGCAGGTATTAAAGGATACAAGCTCGTGATCACTGTCTCCCTTGGAGCCAGAGGGTTGTGGCTAACTAAGTTCTACTCAGAACAGACCAATTAAAACTAATGGGCCTAAGTTACCCACGTGCATCATTTTCTACATGTCTCCTCTGAGGTTGAATGCAACCCAGAGCAGAGAAGACAATGGCAACTAGAGGGGCTAAGGCACAGCAGCTGAGACAACCAGAGGCAGTCCACCACTGAGAGTGGAGTCCACAGTAGAAATTGCACAAGTGCAAAGGTGGCTCTCTAACACTCATAGCTGGTCTCCCTTAACATAAAAAGCTGGATGCACAAGAGGGCTTTGCAACAACCTGTTGCGGGATGCAATATTTTTGGTGAGGGTGCCATCCAGCCAACCACACCCTCTTGCAGGATGCTCCATTCCATTTCCTCTCCCACTGGCTTTCTGCCTACCCTGCCCTGCAACAGTTAGCATTCCATGTCTATTGAACTTGCTCAGACCTCACTGGTCTGTGTTTGGCAGTCCCCTCCCTAGGGCTCCCTCTGCCACCTGGTTTTGTCTTTCTGTAACTCTTGGGAGTTCCCCCAAGCCTGCTGATGCTGCCTCCTTGTATGTGGACGGTGCCATTCTGGCTACATGCAGACTGGCTGTTGGAGAACAAGTTTGCCATTGTGCAGGCTTACCTAGTTGGGCACCCATCACCCCTTGTGATCTTGTCAGCCGTCAATCCGTCAGTCATGGTAATGCTCCTCCTTTTGATGTGCCCCCCTTTCTGGCTGGAGTGGCTGTGCGAGCCGCTGTGCTTCCCATTGGCAAGTCCATAGCTGGCCTCCAAGTAGCGCAACGGGAAAGTGCGGTTGATGGGGCAGTAGAAGATGGCCCCGCTTTGCTCAGAGATTGGCTTGCGGTTGCCCACGTAGAAGCGCACCAAGGCTGGCACATTGTCAAAGCTCTCCTGCTCGAAGAGGTACTGGATGTGAGTGCGGCCTTCGCTGGACTTCACCATCACCTTGTTGATCTTGAAGTGGAGGGGCTCATTCCGCCAACGGCAGGTCAGCACATAATCCCCAAGGCTGGTGAGTGAGTCGCGTATCAGGAAGTCCCCGTTTCTCTGAATCAGGCTCTCAGACACCTGAAAGGCCAGATGGAAGGTTTGTTTAAGCAAATTTGCAATGCCCTGAAAGAAAGTGCTCAGATGACTGGCTTTTTTAAAAAACAACAACAACTTCTTGTCTTGGAAAGAGAGCAGGATTCCATTCTGAAGGTAAGTTGGGAAGAACTGTGTCTCTGATCGTGTGCAGAGAACACTGTCCTCTCACCACTAACTCAAGTTCAGGAACACAGATTCCTAGGGTACCATGTTTGGACTAATGATGGGTCCGTGGCCTCAAAAGGTTGAGGACTATTGGGCTAAAGGGTGGAGAAACTTGAGCCTTTGGGGCAGGGGTGAGGGATTCCCCAATGGCACGATCATTCTCATGTATCCCACATTAGTCCCATCTATTGGGAGTGCTGCCCTCTTCCAAACACAATTATACTGTTAACTGAAAGTCCTATCTTTTTACAGCAAGTGCCTCAGATTAGTGATGCTAAGCCTGAAGAACAACGAAAGCAGTCTTGTTTCCTATAATTGGCTGTTTATTTAATCTCTCTTGGATTCGTATCTTTCAGGATCCTAATTCTCTCTGTTGGAGAGTGAGCACACAGTGTGCTTGTAAATTCCCAGGTGTGCTCCACCTGTAGGGTGGGCATTGCCATTGCTCCCAATAATTCCTGCAGCGCTGTGGTTGCTCTGTGGGCAACAGCACATCTGTGGCATCTGGTTTACAGCCTTTTCCATTCTAAGGGGGTGATAGCTCCCCACAAATGTCTGGGGTGGGGAAAACCTGTGAGCCTCCAAATGTTGGGACTACAACTCCCATTGTCCCTCATTGGGCTGATGGGAGATGTTTGCCAACAACTACTGGAAGGCCACAGGTTCTCCTCCCCTGAGCTAGTTCTCTGGATGTTTTGCATCAAGCAGGGGATTTGAGTAAATGGTCTACCAGATCTACTCCACGAGTCACAGCCATAGCAACAATCCTGCTGTGGAGGCCAGGTTCCCACAGGTTGGTGGGAACGAGACACTCCTGCCAAAGGGTGAAGCTTGCTTGTGAACAAAGCAAGGGAGGGGCACAGGTGCAGTTGGGGAATCCCATGTATAAAGGAAGGAGCTTTGTGACACTCCTGCTCCAAACCAAGGAGGATGAGGAGACCCAGGCAGCCATGATAGCATCCAGCTAAAGTCAAGGGGGCTCATAGACCACCCCACACCCTTCTTCACTGTTGCACAGACACAGCTCACGGACCCACAGGGCTTCCTATAGCCAGAGATCTTCCAGCTGCCCCTCACCTCTCGGGGGATACGCCCATGATACCAGGCGTGGCTGCGGAGGTCCGTGCTGCTGAGTTTGAGCTCCTCTTCCAACTCTTTGTGAAGCTTCTCTGGTGATGAGTCAAGGATATATTTCTCCTTGGAGAACTGGGGGGAAGGGGGGAGAGAGAGAGAGCCTTAAATGAGGTGCCACCAAGTCAGGCTTCAGTGGTAGACACAATCAGTATCCCAGAGCCAAGCTGTGCCAGGTGTTATCCTGACTCTGGGTGGTAGGTAATAAAATCAACGACAACAATAATAAAAAAATTCAGAATACTACAATATCCAAAGAAAGGCAATATTTACTGAAGCAGACATATCTGAACCATTTCAATTCTGATAGTCCTGGAATGCATGAGTGGACAAGTAGTTTTTAAGCAAGCACTCAGAGCATAGCACAGTGAGCACATGGTGTATTTCTGAAGAAAGGCTGTTCCACATGGTGGGTATCACTACCAAAAAGACCCTCCTCTCTTCTGAGTAGTGGAAAGAGGGAGCCTTTATGGCTGAGGCACCACTGGGACACTGGCTCTCTTTCTGCACCCTTTAATCAGCTGCTTCATCTGTCAAGTGATCCAATATCTGAATGATCCCCTGAATCTCTAATCAGTGTTGTTTACACGCGAGAGGAGAACAGTAGAGGCAAGAAAGCAATTCATCCAATTGCCCAGGAGACCAAGTCACAGTCCCGCCCACTCACATCCCCATAAAACTTTGACAAATGATGTAAAAATGAATTGGAATTCCACAAGAATTTACCTCTCTCCTAATACCAGAACTCGTGGGCATCCAATGAAGCTAAATGTTGGAATATTTAGGAAAGCGCTTTTTTCATGCAGCACAGAGTCAAACTAGGGAAGTCGCTCCCCCAAGAGGCAATGGTGGCCATCAACTTGGATGGCATTAAATGAGAATTGGGCAAATCCACAGAGGAAAGGGCTATCAATGAATAACAGCCATGACTGCTCTGCTCTGCCTCCATAGTCAGAGGCAGCAATGCTTCTGAATCCTAGTTGCTATAAAAGAGGGGAGAGGTCCTGTTTGTGCATCTGGTTGGCCATTGTGAGAACACAATGCTGGACCTGATGGGCCATTAGCCTCATCCAACAGGCCTCTCCTTATGTTCTTCTGTCTCTCTCATGTAATAAATAATAATAATAATAATAAACCTTTTATTTATACTCTGCCCTCCCCAGCCAGAACCGGGATCAGGGTGGCTAACACCAATAAAATTACAATAAAATACAATAAAATTACGTAATAGAAAAAGAAACAAAAACAGTTAATTAAAATACAGGTTAAAATACAATTTAAAATGCAGCTTCATTTTAGTAGTTGCCCATAGATCAAAACAATAAGGGGAGGGAAACATAAGGGTCAGACTGAGTCCAAACCAAAGACCAGGCAGAACAACTCTGTCTTGCAGAACCTGCGGAAAGATGTCAAGTCCCGCAGGGCCCTGGTCTCTTGTGATAGAGTGTACCACCAAGTCAGGGCCAGTACTGAAAAGGGCCTGGCCCTAGTTGAGACCAATCTAACCTCCTTGCGGCTCGGGACCTCCAAAGTGTTGTTATTTGTGGACCTTAAGGTCCTCCACGGGGCATACCAGGAGAGGCGGTCCCGTAGGTACGTGGGTCCTAGGCCGCATAGGGCTTTAAAGGTCAAAACCAGCACCTTAAACCTGACCCTGTACTCCACCGGGAGCCAGTGCAGCTGGTAAAGCACTGGATGAATGTGATCCTGTGGCAAGGACCCCGTAAGGAGCCTCGCCGTGGCATTCTGCACCCGCTGGAGTTTCTGGGTCAGCTTCAAGGGCAGCCCTGCATAGCGCAAGTTACAATAATCAAGCCTGGAGGTGACCGTCGCATGGGTCACTGTGGCCAGATCAGGGCGGGAAAGGTAAGGGACCAACGGCTTGATATGGCGGAGATGGAAAAATACCACCTTTGCTGTGGCTGCTACCTGCGCCTCCATGGAAAGGGAGGCGTCGAAGCTCTTGACAGAAGGCACTGGCCCCCCAACTCCATGTCCCGACCTAGCCAGAGGACCTTTGTCTTCGAAAGATTTAACTTCAACCAGCTCCCACGCAGCCATCCAGCCACAGCTTCCAAGCATCTGGTCAGTGTGTCCGGGGCAGAGTCAGGGCGGCCGTCCATCAACAGATAAAGCTGGGTGTAATCAGCATATTGATATATGTGGTAAGGGTGGGGAAAGAAGCTGTAATGTAGGCCCTCACTTACAATGTTTATTGTGGAATGATTTCTCAGCTCCCTGGTGTGCTTGTAGCAAGGCCCAAGGGAATGATTTTTTAAAAATGAATAAAACGTGCAAGCAAAATGAAGGGCCGAAGCTTCCCTGAAGGAGGGGTGGTGATCCAGGATGGCAAAGCCTATTAATCGGCAGGCGTCCTGACCCTGGTTAACCAGCCACCGGGAGCAATGCCTCAGTCACTCACACGTGGCTGCCGGCATTGCCACTGGCTGGGAAGCAGGCCAAGTGTAAACAGACTCGTCAGCTAACATGAGCTGTGAAGTGGTTTCTGCTGTGAAAGGCCTGTCGGCAGAGAAGAGTCAGTTGACAGATCAGCTTGGCTAGCCAACTCTGAGGCAATGCACCTTGATTGGTGTGCTTGAGTGCACAAAGGACCCAGTGGTGGAGTTAGGTGATTTTAGACTCATTCAGGGGTGGGGAGCACCTTCTTTAGAGGGAAATGTGTATTATTTCACAGCCTGCTGCATTTCTCTACGCATCCCCCTCCAGTTCTGCTGATTGTGACCCTCGCCTCTGCCCCAAAGTCAGTCCCTGCTTGCACTACTGATGGGAAGACCAGGAACCTCAGGCATGCCTCTTGCCTTCCCCTCGCCCTACTCATTGTCCCAAGAGGGACATTTGCATTAAGCTACCCTTTGGGGAAAGAATGTTCCTTCTGCCTCTCCCATCACTGCAACCAAACACACAGTGCCTGACATTAGGTTATTTCAGTCTGCCTGAAGATTTTCAGCAGGTTAGGGAATTGGTGATGCAAGCTCAGCAAAAGTCATTCAATGGGGTGGCAGGGAGAGTTGGAAACAAAGATCTCGTCAGCGGAAGGGCTCAGGTGGCTGCCACAGAGTCTTCTGCCCTGTTCAACCAAGCAGCAGGTGGTTCTCCCCACCCCTGCTTTCCTGATCTCCTCTCTCAGTAGGCAACTCAGTTCAGCAAAGCCACTACCACTTGTAAAGAAACCATGCTGGTTTTGCAGCACTGGGAGCGTGGGGAAACTTAACATGCCTTTGGTTCAAATTAATGGGAAGCAGAAGCCTGTTCTAACCACAACACTCCCATAAGTAACACCCATTTGGACATACTTAAAGCAAGAGTATGGAAGTGAGAGCTGGACCATAATTCGGCTGATCACTGAAGAAATGATGCTTTTGAATTCTGATGCTGGAGGAGACTCTTGAGAGTCCCATGGACTGCAAGAAGATCAAACCTATCCATTCTAAAGGAAATCAGCCCTGAGTGCTCACTGGAAGGACAGATCCTGAAGCTGAGGCTCCAATACTTTGGCCACCTCATGAGAAGAGAAGACTCCCTGGAAAAGCCCCTGATGTTGGGAAAGATGGAGGGCACAAGGAGAAGGGGACGACAGAGGACGAGATAGTTGGACAGTGTTCTCAAAGCTACCAACATGAGTTTGACCAAACTGCGGGAGGCAGTGGAAGACAGGAGTGCCTGGCATGCTCTGGTCCAGGGGGTCATGAAGAGTCGGACACGACTAAACAACAACAACAACAAAGCAAGAGTAGCCTCTTATTAGGGTAAATGAAAACACCGCAAGCAGGTTTTTGAACAAAGGTCTTCTTCAGGCTGGGTTGTTACGCAATAAAATGGGGCATAGGACGTGAGAAAAAGACATTGCTCCAGTCTGCAGTCAGTAAGATGACGTGCAGGAAGGTGTTGACTTCAGCATGGAATTCAGTGGGACTTACTTCTGAGTAGACATGGTTGGAATTGCAGGCGAAAGGTTCCTTGTATCCAACGTTAGCCACATTCTGAGCAGACCCATGAACTCAATGGCATGGCTAAGCGAGGTATATTAATCCCAATGGGCACGATCAACAGTATTATTAACAATGAATTAATTCCTTATGCCTCATTTATGCACCAACTATTGTATTAAGGTAGCAGAATACCCCCTGACCATTATCTGTATACCAGTTAGATAAAACTCTGTTTTATCTCAATTTCCCCTCAAATATGTGGCTGTGCGAATATTTCAGCTGCCTCTAGGACAGGCATCCCCAAACTCGGCCCTCCAGCTGTTTTGGGACTACGGTTCCCATCATCTCTGACCACTGGTCCTGTCAACTAGGGGTGATGGGAGTTGTAGTCCCAAAACATCTGGAGGGCCGAGTTTGGGGATGCCTGCTCTAGGACATCTGGAAAGAGGAGATACTACAGTATTAAGATACAGTACTACCAATTCCTTTCACGGAAAATGTCCTCAACATTTTCCAAAGGGCTCCTGCTTCCAATGTGCTTTGAAGATAGAACATTAAGGCTCAAAGACAGTGGCTTTCTCAATGGCAAAAGGAAAAAGAAAGAATTTGTGGCTGAGTTTAAGCCAGCTCCGAGCCACACTTTGTTTCCTGATCAACATTGCCTCCAATGCGAAAGATCTGGTATTCAGTGGGGCATCATCTCTTACCTGCCACGCCCATCATGGCCCTTTTCCTGGTGGCCCTGAACATTGACAACAAAATGGCATCCCTCCCCATCCTCGGTCTGGCCCCGTGCTTAATTTTCAAGGAACCTTATACCTTCCATACAGAACTGACGGGATCCAAACTTTGGTGAACGAGCACTGGAATTTCTGCCAGGCTCTGTCCCAAATCACTACAGCGCAGATGGGATTAAGGTGCCAGGCCTGGACTAATCGCGCCTGATCTAGCCTACCTATTAGTTTTCCTTGTTCTTTGCCCTCCAAATCCTTAGCTCCCTGTAGGGATTTAATGAAAGCCCTTCTCTCTCTCTCTCTCTCTCTCTCTCTCTCTCTCTCTCTGTGTGTGTGTGTGTGTATTAGCAAGGTTGCCACTTTCCAACACAGATAAGCTAAGACGACGTAT